TGACACAAACTACCAAAAAAGAAATTTGTTTTACGGTTAAATTAAATATAATCCACCATTTTATTTTGACATATGCAACTTTAGAAGTGCAGACCTTTGACCTGAGCTGGCAGACTGGCCAAAGGCGAACTAAATCTGTGATTTTTTTTTTTTTTAATCCACTACAAAGCTTCATGTATAACATGCATGCTGCAGCTGTGAACACAGTGCCTACTGTGAAGCCAGGTGGCGGCAACATCATGCTTTGTGGATGCTTTTTAGACAACACGGACATGGAAACTGATAAGATTGGAGATAAACACAGCACAATGTAGGGCAGCACAAAGACGGGTTCTGCTCCCAGCAGGACAACGACGTTAACATGCGTGGAAATCATTAGATCAAAGTATATTGAAGCGTTAGAATGGCCCAGTCAAAGTCCAGCTGAGAACTGAGAATCTGTAGGAAGATTTAAAAAACTGCTAATTAACAGACGCTCACTGTCCATCCTGACAAAAATGTCAGGCTCTATAAAACGGACTGAATAAACGTACACACCTGGCTTTTTTTTTAATTTTTATTTCCATTTGCAAACTTTTGCAAATCCCCAAGCGTCCTTTTCCTTCTGCTTCACACAATTATTGTTGGTTTGCCTCAGAAAACTCAAACAAAAGCCTGAAAAAATCTCAAAGGGTATAAATACTTTGGCAACCTGCTGCTTACGACAGTAAACTTCACAGAGCAGGCTTGAAACATGTACAGACACGCACGTTGTGTTGCCAACCAGGTGAGTCACAACACGTCGAGATAAAAAAAAATTTAATAAAATATATATACTGTGTTAACAGTCAAAGAGCTGGAGTGAGTCACGCCAGCGTAGGCACGGACTTTAGAGTACGATGTCTTCATACGGTGTATCTGCAGGGGCGAGGCCGTGACTGATGGACATGACTAACTGTTCCACAGGTCGGACGCCATCACTGGATCACTTGCTTTTCTGTCCGTCTTCCCGCCTGGCTGCAGGCCCGGCGCTGATGTCCGCTGGCAGGCCGGCGGCCGGCCCGCTGGCGTGCGTTGGCTCTGGTTCACTGTTCCATCACCGGGGCCCAAACAGGAAGCCTGTTGTGGGAGGGAGTTCACCTCTGACACTCTTGTCACAGACGCCGCTGTGAAACAGTCACTGGAAAACACAACCCAGTTCAAATCCGGGTTGTATTGTTGCAAAGGCAAGCTCGGATTTTGCGAGATAATAATAATGATAGTAATAATAACAGTGACAGCGGGTTGTCAGGTTTTATTTTGATATGCAGGCGAGCTGAAGGCAATCCTTTAAAAACACGCTGTGCGCACAGTTCGTCCCGGCCTGCTGCGACACGTATCATTAGCTCTAAGCCACCAGACAACTAACAGTCATTACCGCATTAAGACAACAAGGTCTAGTAGAAATGCAACCAGTGGAATAAGATCCTCCCCTTATTTTGACAAATCGCTCATCATTGATCAGACAAGCCTGCCCGAGTGTAAACGTCCTTTGGAACAAAAAAAAAAAAAGAAAAAACACACACACACACACACACAAACATATAAGCACGCACACACACCCAGACAAGTCGCAGCAGGAGTGTAATCCCGCAGGGCAAACTTGTGACAGACGAGAAGAACCAGAAAACAAAATCTGGGGATTGTGACATTTTGAAATGTTCTATCGGGAGGAGCAATGATTTATTTCAGGGTTGAGAAGGGAGCCACGGAAAAAAAAATATCACAAATCAGCCTGCTGGGTCTGCATGTGATGACAACCTCCAGCAAAAGGTTTTCATCATCACAGCTTCACACAAATGCACATCAACAATTATTTCAATTGCTGATAAAACAGTGTTGCATATAAATAGTTAGATGCACCAATCAAAGGGAAGAACATAGGAGGAAAAATGTTCATCAAAGCATATGTTGCTAATGTTTATTTAATGTTTATTACACCTTTTTTTTAATCAATCGACTAACAACTTAGCTGCAAAACTAAGTTGTTAGTGGTAGTAGTTCTTTGTTCTGGAGAACTTAATGAAAATTTTAATAATTTTCATCATTGGTCCCTGGAAGATTTAATGATGCTTTCTCCAACTAGAACATTATCTACATAGAACTGATTCATTTATATGCGTTTATTGCATGGAATATTATCCTAATTTGCTGTTCCGCTCTGTAAACTGTAAAATAATCTAATTTAATCAGATTATTTTACCCGGTCAACTGATGTACAGACACCTGTCACTTTTTTTTGCGCTCCAAAATATTTCCAAAACCATCCTTTTTTGTCCTCCCTTTTTTGACGCAAGCAACGGAAAAGTGTAAAAGCTTTCTTTAAGCCAGCTGACTGGCAGTGCGCACCAACAAGTCAGGGAGGGTCAGATTACCTCTGGTGAATACTCAAAATGTCTCTGGCACTTTCTCCGCCATCTCATCTCTAAGAAAGTTGAGCAGTTTTGAAACCAGGACTGATAAAAACCTCGGTAAACACCGACGACAACGACCAGCCAAGTTACAAACAGAACAACACCAAGAAGCTCAGTTTATACCGATTTTCCCTCCACAGTGACGATGAAGTGACTGAAGTAATCCGGGTCTCCTGGCTAAATACTGATGGCAAGCTGCTGGAAACAATAAACTAATTTCAGGTGAGGAATGAGGCTACACTAGCAGACGTAGTTGCAGAGACTGTAAGCTGGTACCATCAGTCACCAAAACATGTTATGACTCGTTCAGATATCAGTAAATGAGAAAAGATGCCAAATGAAACTACTTAATAGGCTGAGCTGGGTTTATGAGTTCAAATTTACACACAACACCATTAAGAGGGTTTTTTTCTTCCCCCCCGAAACCCTTTCTTTCCGCCCTACTGTTGTGATTCTCACTCATCTGAGACCTGGAAACCACTTAACAACGCGAGTCTGATGGGCCTGCCTCATAGAGATGACTTCTAAGAAGTCATTTAAGATCTTGCGGCATCAGGAAACTAAAACCCCCCTCTGCACAGCGGCAGCATGCATCATCTCCAGCTAGACCACAGAGTACCAGTACATGATATGTTGAGTTGTGCGCTGCACACACACACACACTGATGTCAGCCCACTGAGCTGCAGGGTGACAGCTAAACTGGGCCATTCTCCCTTGAGAGAAAGTGCATCAGCAACACTTAATGTATCCCGTACAGATTTACATCATGCATACGCCCACAGCGTTTCCACTATCTAGTGTTGAATTAATCCTTTATGCAGAAATGTAATTGTCCAAAAATATTTGAAATATGAGGTGTGAATTTTGATTGCAGGATTTTACAAAATACATTAAAAAAAAAAAACAGAGCTGACTCTGCTTTATAGTTATTTGGGTTACTGACAAAGAGGCGCAGGAATCGAGCTGATCAGCTAGAATTATTCAAAAAGATACGGCAGTAGAGTCTGAGGCATTTGTGCTGCTTCGGAGTTGTAAGATGTTTTAAATCCTGCCTAAATTCTTTTATCTGACTGGTTTTTGTGTGTAAAATTAGAAGACGTCACAGTCATGCTACCTCAGCACACACAAAGAAAGTCTTACTTCTGACTGACGAGCAATTACTTTCTTTTTTCTTGGCAGGTGATGCAGTCGTTCAACAGGAAACATGGTGGGGACTTGAAAATCATCTTAATGAAAGAAATCGACCACACCCTGTGGGTTTCCATAAAAATAATCTCTGAAGCTCTTTGATAGTGAAATCTGGCCATTCCTGCTTGGTCTGCTCCTTTTCAAAAGCTGTGCTACGTTTCCAAGAGCTGTATGTCAAACCATATGAACTCATCTAAAAAGAAACTTTAAAGAAACCATTGAAATCATGCTGAGATAAGGTATGTAGGTTAACATTTTGAGATGTTACTCAACACAAAACCTGTCGTGATTCAAAATTTACAAAAGATTTTACCTACTTCTTATATTAAAAAACTTCAGATATTGCAAAAAGCGTTAAACCACAAAAGCAATGTTTGATTGGTACCACATATACCCGTTTTAGTGATTAATTGACTTGAAAGTAATTAGGCAAAAAGGTTGTTTGAGATTGTAGAAACTCATACTTTTACCATTACCAACCATTTTCATTCACTTTTTATTAATTGCATAACTCCGTTAATTTTAAGTGTATACTGATAACCATTTTTTGTCAAAACAGAACTAAATAAAAACACAAATAACATAAATTTATAAATTACATTCTTGGTATGCAAACCCTGTTCTTGACGGTATGGCTCAACTAAACCAAATGGAGAGTAAAAAAAATATATAAAATAATTTTAAAAAATATATCTGGATTATTCAGAATAACTGCCTTTCGTGACGTCACCAGAAGCAGGCATGTATGCAAGGGTATCTTTTAACATGTCTGCATAACGCCGTGCAATAACATAAAAAAAATGGACCCGAACATGTCTACCAGGTGGCAAATTACACCATAAGAGTTTAATTAGTCCGACAGGCAAACCTGACCAGAAGCTTTAAATGCCCCCTCATTACCCCAAATGTACTGAATATGATGTTTTCAAAAACAACAACAATAATATACTTATTTCTTGCGTTTAATCAAAAAAAAAAATATCTCGTAAAAGTAGAAATGTGTCTGGGGAGGAAATCTGTGTCGCTCGTCCAGCTGTGCTGAAACAGCTCGTCCTGATGGCCGCACTGCTCTGGCAGTCCTCCAGCAGACTCAGCGCGTCTCCCACTGAAAAACTATCCGCCAAGTGTTTGGAGGCATATCCCACTACCGCTCACTCCAGCTCTCCTCTGCTATTATTAGATTTCTTTATCCCGTAATCTGTAAATAAGTCCGGGAATAGACGGCACGGTGTGCGTATCCCATCCGCACCTCGGTTTAAATCCCACATGCCCAGCAGCTCCGTGGAAACAGCCACAAAAATAGCACAACACGCGAGACACAGAGTGGAGCCAACCGGCACTGACACAAACAAGTCCGTAAGTCCCTGGATCGGACTTACCAGTATTCCAGCTGCCGGGATCTACATGGAAACTCCTCACAGACTGACTCGGTTCAGATTGTTTCAGGTTCCGTGTCGGCTCTTTCTGTACCACCTGTAACGCTCAGCCCACACCTAGTAAATCCTGCAGGGAGCGATAATCCAGAAGAGCCAGCGCCAGATCACGTGACTACACCATACCTTTTCCTAAAAAAAAAAAAAAGCTCCTCCACTTTACAGCCAATCAGAGAAAAGGGAAATCCCACATATTTCCATATAGATGTTTTTATCTTGTATAATGTATAACATAGTTTTCTAATTTTATATTTTAAAAAAGCGTGTCCAAATGACGAAGATGAAATTTCAGCTTTAATAACTTCAATATAAAAAGTGACAGTAAAAAAAAATAAAAATAAAAAATTAGATCTGTATATAACTCATTATTTCGTTCACTTAACATGCAAAAAATATTTACAATTTAATCATGCACACAGATGCTGAGATGTAAAAAATAAAATAAAATAAAAAAGTTTAGAAGTTCATAAAACCATCAAAGTGCGTCATCTAGTGGCCAACAAAGGCCACTTCTCTTATTATTTACAAAAGGCTAAACTTTGCGTACAAGTATGAAACAGAAATGCATCATGACTTCGCATTCAGCTGATTAATGTCAGTCTGTCGGTCTATAAGGTCCGCGGGTTCCTCAGTGTTTGTATCTCTGGTTTCTGCCCTCGTACCTCCGGGCAGAGATCGGCGTCCGCAAGTCCTGAGAGGAGGAAACTAACTTCGGGTTGTCCACAGGCATCAGCCGGGGTGACGGCTTGCCCAAGCGGGTGTTTACGTAGACGGGCTCTTCTGGAGGAGAAAGAGGAGACAGGGTGAGCACAGCGAGGCTTAGCATCAGGTTAACCTGAGAAAATGATATTATTATTATTATTATTATTATTATTATTATTATTATTATTATTATTATTAGTAGTAGTAGTAGTAGTAGTAGTAGTAGTAATGTTTTGTTTTTATTTTTGTGAAAAATATCTTATGGTAACTCAGGCAGCATAGTTATCTCGCAGAAGCGCTGGTTCTGATTAACAAAAACAATTAAATAAAATATCAAAAATAAAAATACAAATTCACAATAAGTGTAGAAATTATGCATTTGAAATATAAGAAATCATAAAAAACTGAAAAGTACTGACTAAAATTTCAGATGCACTATTATTGTTGTTATCAATATTATTATTGCTGCTGAAGTTTTATTATTATTATTATTATTATTATTATTATTATTATTATTATTATTGTTGTTGTTGTTGTTGTTGTTGTTGTTTTGTTGTTGTTATTGTTATAGTAATAATAATAATTGTTAGATGCAGTTATATTTTTCTTAAAACAGACATATAATAAAAAATGTAATAAAATTAAAATTAAACCTGGTAATATCAACCTCTAGTATTTCCTCTTTATTTGTTTTCATTTATTAAAAAAAATACAAAACTTGTGGGAATATTCAATTTGTTAAAGTTTACTCAAGTTTAAATAATTGAGACCTGAGCAAATGTTGTTTAACTCTTTCATCACAACATAATGTGTATATACATATATACATACACACACATAAATACTTAAACGTATTTTGCATTTACGTTTAAATTACTTTAGCTGGAAATTGGAGTTCATTGTCGCAAGCTACAGACAAAGATGGCAAGTTTTAACCTTAAAATTTTAAACACTTAATCAAATTAATTACTAAACATAACTCAGGAGAGAAAGCGTCGGCGACGGATTGCATATTTTTTCTTCCAAGTTTTAACAAAAGATATTTATGTGGCAAATAAATAAATACGTCTTTGCTGATACAAAAAGTAATTACATTTATTAACTCTTGCTCTGCAGATATTCTCTAAAAGTGAGTTTATTCTGCTGTTTTCTACTTATCTGGATTACTTTGCTCACATAATCCAAACATGAAACAGAACCTGGACCTCGTCTCGTGGTTGCTTAAACGTTTGGATATTTTTTAAGGGTCTTCATGCACTGCTTAAAAAAAATGAGCAAAGTCAAGATGTAAAGCATTGAACAGTTCTCAAATTTAATGTTTCCTGTCCTTCGTAATCTCTTTCAAATGATCAAACACTGGCCTTCAGTACAAAGGGTTATCTCTCTTCTTTGTCAGTTTTGGTGATCATAAAATCCTTTTTGCCCCGACAATAATTCTCTGTTCTCGTTCTACTTCTGCCTCCATGGCCGTGTGGTCAAACCTGGTGTAGGTTTCTGTATTTATGCCAGATGCCGCTCTGCCATAACACCATTCTGCTTTCTCTGCAGGATGCACTTAATTTTTTTAGCAACATTTTTTATCAGGTGTTGCTGAACTCATCACTGATACCAAAATGATCTGCACCTATGAGCATCTTTTTTATTTTTATCTGACCGGTGTCTGATGCCATATTGAAGTGCTTCATAAAAAGGGGAAGTTCGTGTTTTTAAGTGTAAAAACTATTCAACTATTTAAGCTTCTTTTCTTATTTTCTTTCTGAAAAGAAAGTAAGGCAGATACCTGGTCTGAGATCTGGTCAGCTGGTCGTGAGCATTTCTCAGAGTTTTTATAGACGCCAGTTTGTGCGACTCAGTGAAAACCACAGAAAAGTTAGACACTTACATTTACATTTGACTTTGTCTCATGCTGAGCTGCTAAACCACACAAACCCTCAGCTTGCTCAGTTTGAATTCCCCAGCCAGGACTCGGCCAGAAACCTCCTGTTGCATTTCTACGACTTTTGGTCTTTTGTTCTGCCGCCCACAAACATGGTCTCACCAAAACGAAAACCCTTGTGCATTCTACCTCTCCTTTCAAATGCAAATTGTAGCAGAGAAATTACCGACTTGTGTTGATTTGATCTGACTCTGTTTTGTGATGTTTTTGTGCCCTAATTGTTCTCTTTTGTCTTGTGCCATTTCTTTTTCTCAGAGCATCTGCCCATCCTCTGGTGTCTCTTACGTGCACAGAGCTTATCTACAGGAACAGTTCAGTGTCGCTCTGTTAGATGATTATCAACGCTTTCAAACCCAGAAAGAAAGAGAGGTACCTATGCTTCTGCTGCATCCCCGTTTCCGCACAACACAGGCGACCAGCAGGGCGGTCAGGACAAGGACGAAAGATGATGCCCCCACGATGATCCACATCCACAAGTTCTCATTCTGGTCATTTTCTTCTTTTTGGCTGGTCACTGGAAAAGAGTACATTTGTATTATTAAAAAACAGTTCTATTTGATAGGCTGAGATCAGTGTCAGGAAGCAGGTATTGCATGCAGAGCAATGAGCTAATCAAATATCAGCTAAATTCTTCCTCTTCCTGTCCATTAAAAGAACAATAGAGGAAACTTATGACCCCAGTTTCAAGTTGAGTCAACAGGTATCACTAGGGAGTCAATAAAGTGGAGTAAAATAACACAAACAGCATCAACAAGCAATATATTTGGGGGTTTTCATATTTGGAAGTAGAGTTTTTTAAAAATTTGATGCAGGTAGCATCATCATTTTTCAGTTTAGTTCACTGTAGTTCAGTTTTTCCGTACTTGGGGCCCAGTCCTTTAATTTGTCAATCATTGGTTTAATGCTACATGTAGAACCATCTAAAATATCTGTTGTAAGCATGTAATTAAGGAAATAATCAGGGTTGATGTGTTAACAAGCAAAATCATTGTATGAATTTCTTTGCAGGTGTAAATTTTAGTTGGAGCTGCCACCATCCTAGACATTTAAATGCCACCTACAGTGGAAACAATAAACAATCCAGTTTTCATTGAGACCTAAAGACACAGAATTGTTCATGAGAGCTGAGATCTGGTCAACACGCCCGCTCACATATTCATCCACACACACACCTTGGCTTTTCGTCGTTTGTGACTGAACCGTCGTTTTTTCCTTTAAGTTCTCCACTGTAACAAAGCGGCATGAGAAGCATTGATTCAGTTAGTGCAAGCCATGATTTTGAGGATTATTTGTTAATTAATTCATTCATTGGGTTAAGCGTAATCACAGCAGGCTTTACGGCAGAGCAAAAGTGCAGCATTTCTTTCAGCGCAAATGTTCATTTGTGCTTAAACATATTTGCAGTACTGTGAT